CACCCCCTCGCTCCTTCCCGCCCCCCCTGCCAAGAAAACACGCGGGAGAGCGCGCGCGGGGAAGAGACACAGAGAGACAGAGAGACAGAGACACAGATACAGAGAGGCAGAAAGAGGCAGGCGGTCGGCCGTCCTCGACGAGGGCGCCACCCGGACCCCGCCGGCCGCCCGCCTGGCTTCTAGGGGAGGAGGAGGAATGGGAGGAGGCGGAGGAGGAGGAGGAGGAGGAGAACGGGGACCAATATAAACCCAAGACTCATCAACGATGTTGGAATACACCCTCCCTCCAAAATCCCTTTTCACAGGCCCCTACAAGGATTCATTTTCACTGAGGGAAATGCCCCGTTGGAGGACAACCGTGTGGGCATCCTGAAGCGTGCCAAAACACCCTCCTCGGGGCTCCAACGCCGCGACTTAACCTGACTGTTGCGCCATGGCGACCCTGAATCGTGCCATGACACCATTCCTGGGACTTCAACTCCGCGAATCAACATAACTCTTGCGCCCTGACAATCCTGAACCGCTCCAAAACACAATTTCTTTGACGGTAACCATGAGAAACAATGAAACTCCTGCAAATGTTGAAAATGAATGTGCGCAGCGCGCAAGCAAACGCCACATGTTGGAAAGGCGCCGCCCTCAACCCGCGAAGCTCTTGCAACTGTTTTCAAACGAATATGCGCGGCGCAAAAACGAAAACCTGTTGTTTGACAACGGCCCGCCCTCAATCCGTGAATTGCGTGCAACCTTCTTTTATACAAATGCACGCGGCGCTGATGCGAGAGCCACAATTTGAAAACGAGCCGCCCCGAATCCGTGAAACTTTTGCAATTTGTTTTACGAATGTGCGCGGCGCTAAACCGAAAGCCAAAGTTTGAAAACGACCCGCCCTCAATACATGAAACCGGTGCAATTTGTTTAAAAGAGTGTGCGCGGTGCTGAAGCGAGAGCCACGTTTTGAAACCACCCGTCCTCCATATGTGCGACGGTTGCCACTTGTTAAGCATCAGGGTCAGAAGTGGTGAGGGAGTCTCAGGCAGGCTGCCCTGCCCGTCCTTTCGACCGGCTTCGGGGTGCGACAGGGAGGAGTTATCGATAAGGAAAAGAGTTGGAAGGGATGCGACAGTAATTCTGCAACACACCCTGCCTCAATTCCGCTTTCCTCCTGGCTTCCAGGAGAAGGGAGGAGGAAGTCGAGCGTGCCCGAAAGGGTTCATCCACGACACGCCAACCCACCCCCGAGCCCAAATTGATGTATGGGTTTCACTGAGAAAAAGACGCAGCGCCGATCGGACAGTTGACGGCCGAATCCGCGCACGACCGAATTACGATGCGAGGCGACGTGCATAAAAACGCAACAACAAAACTGAAGTTGCATTCGAAATCCGCCGGAGGTCTAACCCCGAGGCGAAACCAAAAACTATCTGGGACGACTCTCGACAGCGCCGCCTGCAGTAGAGCCACCACTGGAAAGTAGTGCGACAAGGGATCGCTGCAAACACATCCCAAAATGCACGTGCCAGCTGGGCGCGAAATTCGGGATGAGGTCGTCCATCCTCCGAGCCACGTCTTGAGCGCGGCAGAGGACCACGAGAGGTGCAGTGTGCGAAAAGCGCCCCTCGCCACACCCCAGTCACAGTGACGCCATAGGGAGCTCCACCTAAGGTCCCAGTGGCGCAGCCCGCATGGCGCCGCCGTCCCATTTTGGCACACCCTTCACACGCTTCGTGGCCCCATAGGGAGCTCCATCTAAGGTCGCACTGGTGCAGCCCGCATGGCGCCGCCGCCCCATTTTGGCACATCCCTCTCACGCTTCGTGGCCCCATAGGGAGCTCCACTTAAGGTCACGGTGGCGCAGCTCGCATGGCGCAGCCGCCCCATTTTGGCACACCCCTCACACACGTCGTGGCCCAAGAGGGAGCTCCACCGAAGGTCCAGGTGGCGCAGCTGCATTTTGTTACACCCCTCACACGTTTCGTGGCCCCAGAGGGAGCTCCACTGAAGGTCTCCGTGGCGGAACTCGCATGGCGGCCCAGTGGCAGAGTTCGCATGGCGGCGACTTTCGCGTTCTGAAAGTTTTTCGTTCTTTCGACGAGTTGAGGCCGCTTTCGGGCCGCGCATCCCCGGCGGGAGCCAGCCTGCTCACTCGCTCTGCTGCGCGCGGCGGACGACCCGCGCGCGTCGCCGGGACCCCTTCGTGGCGACCAGCTCGTGTCGCGGGGACTCCGCGCGGCGCCACGCCCGCAGCCTTGGACGTGGGGGTGCACGGGCAAAGAGGGAGAAGAAGAACGGGAAGGAAACGGGCGCGATCCTCGTGAGAGGCGCGCCGACATAGGCGTCGACATTTACGCACGTAGACTCACGCGCGCGCAAACTCATCGACAATCAAACTCACGCGCTCTCAGTCTCACGCACACAGACCTATCGTCTTCCCTCGCGTCGTGTGCCCCGCCACGCATGTCGGCACGCCCCTCACACGGTTCGTGGCCCCCTTGGGAGCGCGGGCGAAGATGATATTTCTATTTGCGGTACTCATACTTGCATATGGTTGGCTCCTTCGCCAGGCAAATGTTTCCCGAAACCATCCTGCGGTGTTGGGTCCTCGTTTTGAAGAGACGGTCCCCGCGTCTCCTTCCTCCTCCTCCTCCCCGTCCTCCCTCCTCCAGCACCATCATCACCATCACCCGTTTCAGCACACCCCTCACACGCTTCGTGGCCCCATAGGGAGCTCCACCGAAGGCCCCTGTGCCACCGCCAGCATGCGTCACCCACACCGATTTCGGCACACCCCTCACATGTTTCGTGGCCCAATAGGGAGCTCCACCGAAGGCCATAGTTCAACCGCCCGCATGCGTCACCCACACCATTGTCGGCACACCCCTCACACGTTTCGTGGCCCCATAGGGAGTTCCACCGAAGGCCACAATGCCACCGCCCGCATGCGTCACCCACACCCATTTCGGCACACCCCTCACATGTTTCGTGGCCCCATAGGGAGTCCACCGAAGGCCCCAATGCCACCGCCCGCATGCGTCACCCACACCCCTTTCGGCACACCGCTCACACGCTTCGTAGCCCCATAGGGAGCTCCACCGAAGGCCACAGTGCCAGCGCCCGCATGCGTCACCCACACCCATTTCGCCACACCCTTCACACCTTTCGTGGCCCCATAGGGAGCTCCACCGAAGGCCACAGTGCCACCGCCCACATGCGTCACCCACACCCATTTCGGCGCATCCCTCTGGCGTTTCGTTGCCCCAAAGGGAGCTCCACCGAAGGCCCCAGTGCCACCGCCCACATACGTCACCCACACCCGTTTCAACACACCCCTCACACGTTTCGTAGCCCCATAGGGAGCTCCACCGAAGGCCCCTGTGCCACCGCCAGCTTGCGTCACCCACACCCATTTCGGCACACCCCTCACATGTTTCGTGGCCCTATAGGGAGTCCACCGAATGCCACAGTGCCACGTCCCGCATGCGTCACCAACACCCACTTCGGCACAACCCTCACACGCTTCGTGGCCCCATAGGGAGCTCCACCGAAGGCCCCAATGCCAGCGCCCGCATGCGCTACCCACGCCCATTTCGGCACACCCCTCACACGTTTCGTGGCCCCATAGGGAGCTCCACCGAAGGCCACAGTGCCACCGCCCGCATGCGTCACCCACGTCCATTCCGGCACAGCCCTCATACTTTTCGTGGCCCCATAGGGAGCTCCACCGAAGGCCACAGTGCCACCGCCCACATGCGCCACCCACACCCATTTCGGCACACCCCTCACACGTTTCGTGGCCCCAAAAGAAAATCCAACGAAGGCCCCGGTGCCACCGCCCGCATGCGTCACCACCCACACCCATTCTGGCACACCCCTCACGCGTTTCGTGGCCCCATGGGGAGCTCCACCGAAGGCGCCAGTGGCTGGGCTCGCTTGCGCCCACCGCACCCATTTCGGCACACACATCACACGTTTCGCGGCCCCATAAGGAGCTCCACCGATGGTCCCAGTGGCTGCGTTCGCATGCGCCCTCCGAACTATTTCGGCACACATCTCACGCGTTTCGCGGCTGTGGCTGCTTGCGCATGCGCCCACTGGACAAATTTTGGCACCCCCCTCACACGTTTCGTGGCCCTATACGGAGCTCCTCCGAATGTGGTGCGTACAACGACGGTACCCACAACTGCATATGGTTTGGTCCTTCGACAGGTTCATTATTTCTCTCTACCTCTCTCTACCTCTCTCTCTCTCTCTGTTCTCTCTCTCTCTCTCTCTTGTTTCTCTCTCCCTCTCTCTCTCTCTCTCTCTTTTCTCTCTCTTTTCTCTCTTTGTTCTCTCTCTCTCTCTCTCTCTCTCTCTCTATATCTCTCTTTATCTCTCTCTATATATATAGAGAGAGGGAGATATCCCGATATGTGCATGTCTCATCATGTATATAGTTATAGTAATCGTGTGTTCTCTCTCTCTCTCTGTTGCTGTCTCTCGCTCTCTCTCTCTCTCTCTCTCTCTTTTCTCTCTCTCTCTCTCTCTCTCTCTCTCTCTGTCTCTGTATACAAATATGTATATCTTATGATGTGGTCCCGGGGGGAAGGCTCGAAAAGGCGGTCACATACATATTCACATATATGTATAAAGATGGGCGATGCAATATGTATATATCTATATATATATATATATGTATTCGGTGCAGCGCATGTGGTGCAACAGACGTGGTGCAGTGCACAGGATGTAGCATATGATGCGCAAACTATGTGTGCACGTTTTGTGGTGCAAGCTACGTGGTGCAAGCTATGTGGTGAGGGCTATATAGTGCAATGGGTCCTGCGGAATCCACAAGAGAATCAACACGCGAGATTGGCAGATGTCGCGCAACCTGAGTTCAACCTTCTAGGCCGTTGTATGGCATACACTTGTGGCATGCGCAAAGAAACAAAATCGCGTCACTGCTCCAACCCAGGGTGCCCATTTTAGCGCCCTCAGGGCTTTGGATGCACGCAGATGAACTAGCGGTACGAGTCCATATCAATGACAGGAAAGCTGGCGTCGTCGTTGGGGATAGAACCACTGATGTCAGTTAACAGCGCCGGACACCTCACACGACGGAACTGAATGTACGGGTTGCTGGTGGTATTGGTGCCGTCCACCATGTATTTATACCATGTGAATCGCCACCTGCACCCTGCCTGTAGTTCGGCAGGCTGGAGATCACAGTCAGAGATGTTGCGACACCCACCGTAGCGCGTGCCGCAGTCGAAGTCCTCGACTAGAACGCCTGGAAACTGGCTCTCGCAGCCGTTGTACAACAGGCCCTGGCCAGATCCAGGGATCTGGATGTCGAACGCGTGCTCGCCTGACAAGTCGTAACCGATGTTGTTGACCTGCACGATCATCGTCTTCCCCACCAGCGAAAAGTGCGAGCCGCCCCACCTAGGGGAGCCACCATCGCCCCACAAATAGCAAAACCCATTCGAACACATCATCAGCGGGCCCCGGAGGACAGGCGAACTCCCCCCCAACAAAATCCTCCGACAACACCGCGAATCAAGCCAGATGCCTCAGTGCCTCGCCATGGATGCGTGCCACCGAGGGTGTGTGAAACACGAGGGAGAAGCACAGAGGAGGAGGGCGCGGACAAGGGAAAGATCGGTGCGCGTGCGTGCGGGATCCCCATAGCCCAATCGACCAATTATCAGAATCAGAGGGCCGAGCGGTCTTGCAACATCCCAGGGTGCGCGGCTGAACTGGGATTTCGTGGCCTAGATTGTGCTGGTTTGTTGCTGTGAGGTGTTACTGCTGTTGAAATTAAACTACTAAGCAATTACTATGGTTGGACACCCTACATTCGCCCTGGCGCTCTCGCCTCGGCGCCGGCTGCATTTCCTTTGAAAATTAAGCTCACGCTCAGGCGTTTCGGAGGACCGCCGCAGAGCCCCAACAACAACGCTCCCGTTCGATGTTTCCTCCTGTTCTACTCGGGACTGGGGCTGTAGCTCGCCGCCGAAAGTCAGGTTTCCAAGAAAAACATGCGCTTCCGTTCGATACTTCCCTGCTTTTACTCAGGACCAGCGTTCCTGCCTCGGCGCAGCAAGCGCCCCCCCAATGAGTGTTGAACCTGCATTACTAAGAAAATACTCTTGTTGAGCACCCTACACCCGCCCTGGCGCTCTCTCATCGGCGCCGGCTGCATTCCTCTGAAAACAACTGTCACGCTCAAGCGTGACCGCGGCTCTAGCTCACCGCCGAAATCAAACTTCCCAACAAAACCAACGCTCCCGTTCGATACTTCCCTGCTCTTAACTCAGGACCAGCGCTCCCGCCTCGGCGCCGCAGACGGCACCCTGTGCAAACAACGACGCTCCCGCTCGATACTTCCCCCGCTTGTACTCAAGACAGCCACAGAGGACCTGGGGCTTCCTTGGTCTCTAGAGCCGATCCTGAAGAATGCAGCATTCACTGTCGGCGTCTGCGCCGGCGCCTCCGTGGCGCATTCCGCATGCCAGAGGCGGCCAGGGACCCTGCGGCGGCGACCACGTCGTCGTCCTCCTCCTCATGTTTTTCCCAACCAACTTGTGTTGTTGGGTCCTCGTTTTGAAGAGACGGTGGCCCGCGTCTCCTCTCCTCTCCTCTGCTCCTCCTCTCCTCCTCCTCCCCCGTCCTCCTCCGCACACCCATTTCGGCACACCCCTCACACGTTTCGTGGCCCCATAGGGAGCTCCGCCGAAGGTCCCAGTGGGTGTGCCCCCGCATGCGCCCCGCACGCCAATTTCGGCACACCCCTCACACGCTTCGTGGCCCCATAGGGAGCCCCACCGAAAGTCCCAATGGGTGTGCCCGCACGCGTCCCGCATACCCATTTCCGCACACCCCTCACACGCTTCGTGGCCCCATAGGGAGCCCCACCGAAGGTCCCAATGGGTGTGCCCGCATGCGTCCCGCACACCCATTTCATCACACCCTTCACATATTTCGTGGCCCCATAGGGAGCCCCACCGAAGGTCCCAGTGGGTGTGCCCGCATGCGTCCCGCACACCCATTTCGGCACACCCCTCACACGTTTCGTGGCCCCATAGGGAGCTTCACCGAAGGTCCCAGTGGGTGTGCCCGCATGCGTCCCGCACGCCCATTTCGGCACACCCCTCACACGTTTCGTGGCCCGATAGCGAGCTCCGCCGAAGGTCCCCATGGGTGTGCCCGCATGCGCCCCGCACACCCATTTAGGCACACCATTCACACGTTTCGTGGCCCCATAGGGAGCCCCACCGAAGGTCCCAGTGGGTGTGCCCGCATGCGTCCCCCATACCCATTTCGGCACACCCCTCACACGCTTCGTGGCCCCATAGGGAGCTCCACCGAAGGTCCCAATGGGTGTGCCCGCATGCGTCCCGCACACCCATTTAGGCACACCATTCAAGTTTCGTGGCCCCATAGGGAGCTCCACCGAAGGTCCCAGTGGGTGTGCCCACATGCGTCCCGCATACTCTTTTCGGCACACCCCTCACACGTTTCGTGGCCCCATAGGGAGCTCCACCGAAGGTCCCAGTGGGTGTGCCCGCTTGCGTCCCGCACACCAACTTCGGCACACCCCTCACACGTTTCGTGGCCCCACACGGAGCTCCACCGAAGGTCCGAGAGGGCGTGCCCGCATTCGTCCTTCACGCCCATTTCGGCACACCCTTCTCGCGTTTCGTGGCCCCGTAGGGGGCTCCACCGAAGGTCCACGTGGCGCAGCCCGCACGCGTCTCCCCCACCCAGTACACCTCCGTCGGAGGCCGTCGGAGTTCCGCGCCCCCCTCGCCCGTCGTCGCTTTGCCCAGCGGCAAGAGCCTTGCCCGCTATCAGCCAGCCAGCTAGCTCTCTTTGCTGCGCGCAGCGGACGACCCGCGCGCGTCGCTGGGACCCCTCCAGGGCGACCTGCGCGCGTCGCTGGAACTCCGCGCTGCGCTGCGCCCGCAGCTTTGCACTTTTGAGCGCGCGGGCAAAGAGGGAGTAAAAGAAGGGGAAGAAGCGGGCGCGATCCTCGCGGTGGCGTCGCGGCGCGCGGGCGATGCCGTCGGGGAGTCCCCGGGAAGTTCCTTGCGGCGGCCACGCCCACCGTCACGAGTACTCAGAGGCAGTCATTCACAAACTATTAACATTCATATACAATTCCACCATGCATTGGCATACTCGCACTCATGCACGTAGACTCGCTCGCACGCAGATTCATTCACAGTCATACGCACTCGCGCTCAGATTCACCCGCGCTCAGTCTCCCTACGTACTCAGATCAATCGTTTTCGTTCGCGTCGTGTACCACGCCATTCACTTCGGCAAACCACTAGCACGGTCCGTTGCCCCATAGGGATCACCACCGAAAAAGGGAGTCACAATTGCGGTAGTCACACCTGCATATGGTTGGGTCCTTCGTCTGGTTAATTCCTCCTCCTCCTCGTCCACGTCCTCCTCCTCCTCCTCCTCCTCCTCTTCCTCCTCCTGCTCCTCCTTCTCCCCCTCCTCCTCGTCCTCCTCCTCCTTCTCCTCCTCCTTTTCCTCCTCTTCCCCCTCCTTCGTATTAGTATGATCAATGTTATTATTAGTATTACCATTATCATTATTATTAGTAGTAATATTATTTATGATATAATATTATTGTTACTATTATTATATTAGTATTACTATTAGTATTAGTAGGATTAGTATTATTAGTATTATTAGTATTATTATTATTGGTCTTACTAGTATTATTATTGTTAGTGTTATTATTACTATTATTATTAGTATTGATAATATTATTATTATTAGTATTAGTAGTAGTATGATTATTATTATGGTTATTATTGTATTAGTAGTACTATTAGTATTATTATTCGTGATATGTTCAGTAGTAGTCTTATCATTGTTATTATTACTATTATCAGTAGTAGTAGTAGTAGTGTTATTTACGGTTACTATTATTAGTATGAGTAGTATTAGTATTATAAATATGGGTGTTAGTATTATTATGTTTAATTCTGATCTGATTAGTAGGGCTATTATTATTAGTATTATGAGTCGTATTATTAGTGTTAATATTCGTATTGGTATTATTAATATGATTATTGGTAGTACTATCATTCGCATTACTATTATGACTAGTATCAGTAGTATTATTATTATGATTATGATTATTAGCCATACGATTGTATTGTTAATATGATTAGGACGATCAAAATGCTGATTGATATTACGTTCAGTAGTTATTCTAATGCTTCCGTTCTGATGAGCTTTACTATTCTTGGCATTCGTACCACCGCTGGTAGTACTGATATGTGTTACTATTGATAGTACCCATGGTATGATCAGTACTTGTAGTACTACTACGAGGAATCATAGTATTCATATCATTAATACGATGACAACTGAGGAAGACCCAATCCGTGGATGATTATTACTATGGATCTTGAAATCGATTGTGAGATCGATAATGAAATCGGTAGTGGAAACGATAGTGAAGACGATTGTAAGGTCGATCGTAAGACCGAGAGTGATATCGATTCAATGAGATCGATCGTGAGATCAATCGCGAAATCGCGCATGCGATCTCTAGTGAGATCGCTAGTGAGATCGCTTGTGAGATCGATAATGAAATCGATTGTGATATCGATGGTGAGATCGATGGAAAAATGGGTACTGAGATCGATGGTGAAACCGATCAATAAACAGAACCAACAACCCGTCAACTTGGGAACCTCGCCGCCCTCCGTAATCGGCCCGGAACACGGATCCGGAAACCCGGGAACCCGGAACAGGAACCCGGGAACCCAGCGTGCGACCAAAATCGGCGGGAAAGTTTCGCCAAATCCTTCACCATCCGCGAGGACCACTTCAGTGCAAGCACTGATTGGGGAATTGCACCAGAGAAAAGCCTTGAAATTTACACCGGAGAAAAGCCCTAATCAGTGGATGGTTTGAAAATTTGTGTTCTGGATATGGAGATCGATGGTGACATCGATAGTGGAATCGACAAAGAGGGCGAATGTAAGGTCGACCGTGAGACCGAAAGTGAAGTCGATTCAATCAGATTGATAATGAAAATCGATCGTGAGGTCGATCTTGAGATTGGTAGTGAGATCGACTGTGATATCGATAGTGAGATCGATTGTGAGATCGATCGTGAGATCGAATAAAAAATTGGTATTGGGATCCATGGCGAGACCGAGCGATAAGAAGAACGACCAGACCCAGAAACCTGGGATACCCGCCGCCCACCGAAATCGGCCCGGAATCCCGAATCAAGAACCTGCGAACCCGGGAACGAATAACTGGGAACCCGGGAACCCGGAACTGGAAACCCGGGAACCCAGCCGGCTGCCAAAATCGGCGGGGAATGTTCGCCAAATCTTTCAACTTCCGCTAGGACCCCTTCAGTGCAAGCGCTGGATGGTGATGATCGACTGTGATATCGATAA